GCCAACTCCATCCTCACATTAACTCAGCACTGGAAAGCATGCTAAAAACGAGGGCATGGCGGCGCATGCCTGCAGTCCCAGCACTTGGGAGGCTGAGGCACAAGACCGCTGCAATTCAAGGACTCCTCTCCCAGCCTGCATGCCTGTGGCCTCATGACCATCCGTGTCTCCTGCTGCTGCGCGAGGCTTTCACCAAGCTGGCAGTTATATTTCCTCAACAAACCCAGCTGCACGCCTCCTATCAGGACAGAGCTGAGTTCTGGGGTGCTGCTGGTCCCCCTCCCTGTGCCAGCTCTGTAAGATGCATAGTTTACAGATCCAGGCCCTTGGATTGGTCGCCACAAAGTCAAGGACACAGCAACTAAACACTTTTCTTGTTACCTCTTCATGTTCCTTTTTTCCCACGTGTTTGATTTTCTGTGTGTCATAGTTCAGGCTCAGATTCTTGGACACACAACTGTCCCTCGGTCCTGCGGAGGATTCACTAACAGTCAGCTTGTAACAGCCAGCTGAACTGCGTATGAACTCAGCTGCTCTGATCATCAGAGGGGCTCGGGTCCTTGCTGTCACTGAGGACGGCTGGGGTTCTCTCTGGGGAGCTCTGGTCCTTACCTTGAGCTTCCTGATTCCGGCGCAGATCCCTCAACCTGCCAGCACACATCTTCACCCTGCCGGCACAGACTTTCTAGTTCCCACCACTGACCTGCGGGTCTTCCCAGCACAGATCCTCGTACGAGATGCTGCATGGTCTCCAGGCCTCCAGCTGGACTTGGGGAAAGTACTGCCAAGGCTTGTGCAGGACACTGTGGGATCCAGGCCCTCAACTGGATTCTTTTGGGTCTCTAGTGCATGGGCAGATTTCTTACTCTTTTGCATTTGACTTTTTGAGTGAATACTAGTATTCCAATAAATTATGTGTCCTGCATTTAATCCATTTGTGTATGCTGAGCCCGTCACTGGCACAGACTTCCACCCTCCTTGAACCTCCTCTCCTGGGTCTTTCCAGACTGCTGATCTCTGGCCCTGCCTTCCTGCCACGTTGGTCACCATCCCTCTGGCTCTCTTTCATCTGTCTCTGCTTCCTTGGCCATATATTTTCCTGTCTCTTGGTTTACTCTGTCACTCGATGGCAGCCCCCTCAAAGGAAGAGATGACCTGGGTGTGCAAAGCTGTCCTTATTTTCATGCTCTGTGGATGGCAAAGCTGAGCAAAGAACTACGCAACGGAGTCCATTTCCTTCAGTCTTGGCGGCTTTGATCTGGCGTCGGCTTTAGTCACTGTAAGGACGGCTGATTCTCCCCTCTAGAGTCTCTCTGTGCCCAGATTTCTGAAGGCTTGGGATGCTGGATGTTAATGTGGCCTTATGTTCATTATGTTGGAGGCCTGAGAGGTCCTTTGATCTGGAAACATGATGTTCTGCAGATCGGGGGAAATTCCTCACGTCATTTCTGATCACCTCCTCTCCCCTCCTCTGCTCTTGTTCTCAGGTTTGAGTTCTCATCTTGTCACCCACACCGGAGGTGTGACAAGGTATACCCTGAAGTCCCCTGTCAAAGGCTTGGAGGGGTGGGGACATAGCTCAGTGGTACAGCGCTTGCTTGGTGTGCACAAAGCCCAAGCTCAAGCCCCCATAAAAGGCAAGGCAGGCGGGCGGAGGGGCAGGCAGGCTAGCTTGGCCACCAGCGTGTGGCGTGCCTGGTGGGTGCAAGGAGCCTCAGGAACCCTCCCAAACCATGAGCCCACATAAATGCTGCCTTTTTACTTCTTTAAAGTTAATTTTATTGACACACCTTATATATACCTAATAATCACATTCATCACAGGGAATTTATACCTACGTATAACGTACTAGGGTTCTTTTTTCACCCAATGCCCTCCCAATCTTGTTTTTTCTTTTTTTTTTTGGAGACAGGGTCTTATTATATAGTTCAAACTGGTCTTGAACTCACCATGTAGTCCAGGCTGGCCTTGAACTCATGGTGATCCTTTTGCCTCAGCTTCTCTAGTGCATGTACCACCATGCCCAGCTCCAGGGTTTCCTTTTTTTTTTTTTTTTGCAGAACCGGGGATTGAATTCAGGCCCTTGTGCTTGCCAGGCAAGCACTTATTCTACTGAGCTATCTCCCCAGCCTCAGGGTTTCCTTTTAAAACCTCATTAGCTTAGGTTTTTTGTTACAGTAACAGAAAGCTAAGTAACATACTTCGGAATCCCTATTATGTGGATGTTGGCCCTTTTAAGCTCATTTATTTTCAACTTGGTCCTCTCATCTTTTAGCTCTTGAGGTTTTTGTTCTGCGGGGGAGGAAGGGAGGGAGGTCGACTCTTTTACGATCCCCCCTTCCACTGGATTGTCAACTGCAACTGTCATATTTATTTCCAAAGGCTGTTTTTTTTTTAATTTTCCACATGTTTCCTCATAGCTTCTTGCTCTAGTTTCAGGGACACAAAATCTTTTCTGAGAACTATTTTTTAAGTCTTCTTTCACTCTCTGTTGAGGTTTTTGTTTCCTGTTTATTTGCTTCTGTCAACATCAGTTTTTCCTCAGTTAACTTGACAAAGATTAAGACGCCACCCAAACCCCTATTTTAGAGGGTGGCAAGCAAGAAGGCAGGAAATCGCTACTGGGTCTCCAGTCGAGGCTGGCTGGCGGGGTCACACTCTTCCTGAGAAATCTCCAGATTTCACCATGTGGAGGAGCTTTCCCTTGGACTTATCAGTCTCTTCAGAAAAAAAAGCTTCCTGTTCCTGGCTTGGAACTGTCAATCTGGCCGCCAGTGCCCGAGAAATCAAGCAGCAGAGGAGCCCTGACTGCCTCTCCAGCTCCCGGAGGGCTGCGGCTGGTGCGCTGCAGCAGGTCCTCTGTCCAGCACGCAGGAGCCTCTGCTGCTGGTCGGGCGCCCTGGAGCTAGGCCAGAACAGGCAGGAAGTCTTGCACACATCAGTCTCCTTGGTCCTTGCCTGTGGGATATTTCTGCATAAGCACCAAAAGCCTGGGCAGTGGTAGAGGCTGAACGTCATCAAACGATAAGCACGCTAGGGAGACACTGAATGGACCGTGGAGACACCACCCGCTGTCCACGCCCAGCCCTGCCCTAGCCTGCTCTTCCCTCTGAGCTTACGAGGCCCCTGCTGCCTGCCCTCCTGCAGGCACTCGGGAAAGCCCTTCATCCCCGGCTGGGCAGGAGAAGGAAGAGCCTGGGGTGCTCCGGCACTACGTGCCCGGCGCCCACAGCCTCCCGTGGCCGGCCCCTCCTCTGCGCCTGCTTCCAAAGGCACGTGCAAGCCCCAATTTCCCAGTTTAAATCGAGTACGGAGGGCTCGGTTCGCGGCTGTTGCCCTTCACAGGCCGCTCGCTTTCCCACTCGGCTCAGTCTGCCACCATTTCCTATCTGCCCTGAGCGCCAACCGCTGGCGGATGGCTCCGCAGCCCACTTCCTACCCGTTTCTGCTTTCATGGGTTTATTCCTTTCACGGTTCTTGCCATCCCATGGTGCCACCACTCTGGCCACTGTATTCTACTGAAGCTCTGACTCTCAGCTTTTAGAGTGATTCCGGTTAATCAAGAGGTAAACAACACAGCAGGAATCAGGAATGGGAAAAGGACTAAGGAGGGATTTTAGAGTCAGTCTCACAGTCCATTCTTCCTAGTTTCTCAGAAGGACCAAGCCCTGTGTCTGTTGTGCACTGCGTTACTTAGCATCTCCTCAGTCTCCTACATGTACAGGTGACAATGTCCCCGACCTTGCAGGGTTCTGGTCCGTGGCAGCTCTGTCAGATGGTCAGAAAAGATCTCAAAGCTGCTACTGCTAGAACAGCGTGCCACAGCACAACGTATCTGTGGCAAGGCTGCTGTGAACAAACCTACCGCAGAGCCAGTCATATCACAGCATGCTGCGCCGTGTCCTACAGCAGGAGTCCCAGCCCACAGGCCACAGGCCACAGGCCACTGGGGAGATCCGCGGCCTGTGAGGAGCCAGGTAGCAGAGTGAGTGGCAGGCAGGCAAGCAAGTAAAGTGTCGTCGTAGTTACAGCTGGTCCTCATCGCCCCCAAGACCGCCTGAGTTCCACTTCTATTGACTGATTGATTGATTGATTGATTGAGACAGGGTCTTGTTATGTAGCTCAGGCTGGCCTTGAGCTCACAAAGATCTTTCTGCCTCAGCCTCCCAAGCGCTGGGATTACGGGCTGCGCCACCACGCCTGGCTCTGGCGGAGTTCCACTTCTTGTGTGATCAGCAGCAGCATTAGATTTCCACAGGCAGGTGAACCTGACTGAGCTGGGCATGTGCGCGATCTAGGTCGTGCGGTCTCGTGGATCACTCTGAAGCCACCCCACCCATGGACAATGGCCAAGGAGCCGACGGACGGCGGTGCCGCACGCTTCAATACTGGACGATAATAAACAGCTACACTGCTGGTCTGGGCAGTCACTAAAATTTTAGTGTTGTTTTTAGAGCATAATCCGGTCACTTACAAAAAAGAAAGTCAGATGTGAGCGGTCCTGATGCACCAGCAGCGGCCTCACGCCCCGCGCGCCAGCTGCATCTCATGGGTTCCTTGAGGTGACACGGCACGGTCTGTGACGCGGGGCTGTGACACTCTGTGAGGAGAGTCACCAGTGCTGTGCGCCTCAGAGCACAGCCCCCTTGCTGCGTGACTCACGGCTGTCCTTCCAATAGGCCAGCTGAAGAACGCAGAGCTGGGGGTGGGTGGCGGCCATCCCTGACACCATGACTTGAGAGGTCAGGGACCCCCGTGAAGTGTCTGCTGAGAGTGAGACTGCCTTCATTCAGCGGGCGTTTGTTTAGGGCAGAAGGTCTGAGCCAAGCAGGCAGGAGGCAGTGAAGACCCGAACCGGACACAATGCCATCGAGTCAGACATGATGTCACCACACCAGAAGGGGCAAACGGGACCCCGGAGACAGAGGTGGTGTTCAGAAGAGAAGGGAAAGCCAGCAAGCCCACCAGAAGCCGGGGCCCAGAGCCCCATTTGCTTTTACCTTTCTTGGTCTTACAAGGTCCACATTCGGGGTGAATCTCTTGCAAGCGAAGGGTTATCACCTTGGCCAGCCCGGCGTTGAGCATGTACTGGTACAGACGCTTAAAGGTCCTCTCACACAGCCCCTGCCAAACACAAGGCCACCGTGAGCAGGCTCTGGGAACCACTGCACAGTCAGGTAACACATGAGCGCAGGACCTGAAGTAACGGATTATCTTCAAGGAGGAAACACTGGAGCTCCTAATGAGGAAAGACTGCCGAGCTACGTTGTCAAGGAAACAAAACACTCTCAGTATCGCTGAGAGCAATAAAGAAATGATTCCACATTTTGATTACAGGAAAGGAAGAGAGATTTGCTTAAAGAGATCCTGAAGTGGAGGAAGGAGGCAGGTAAGAGAGGGGCAGGGGGAGACACCTGACACCTTTTCATATTGCTTTCAACTTTTTTTCTTTTTTTTTGTATTTGGTACAAGGTCTCACTACACAGCTCGGTCTCATAGTGATCCTCCTGTTTCAGCCTCCCCAGTGCTGGTTTGGTGCACCCGGAGCAGGGCAGGCGTGTGGTGCCGAGGACTGAATCCTGATCCCTCTGCTTGCCCCTGAGCTAGCTTTCTGCCCTGCTTTCAATTTTTTTTTTTTTTAACCAAGTGAGAGTATTAGTAATGAACACACACACACACACACCTCCATTTGTGGAACACACAGGATTAGATGAAAAAAACGTTCATTATAGGCACAGCGGCGCACACCTATAATTCCAGAATCCTAGAAAGCTGAGGCAGAAGTTTTGCAAGTCTGAGCCCAGCCTGCCTGAGCAACTTGGCAACTTAGCGACTCAGTGAGGTCCTGTCTCGGGGAAAGAAAGAGGAGCCTGAGGATATAGCTCAATGCAAAGGTCCTGAAAAAGGGCCAGGGAGATGGCTCAGTGGAATAAGTGCTTCTCTGGCAAGCACAAGGGCCTGAGTTCAATCCCCAGTTCCACAAAAAAAAAAAAAAAAAAAAAGGTCCTGAAAACCATAGACAAATGAATAGTAATAATAATCAAATTGTGACGTGGTCCACGGCGAAGAGCATGCCTACCCGATCACTCCTGCTTCAGCAAGGCTGCTACAACGTAAAGGTCCTACACATTTCCTGGCTGCAGGGCCACTAACAGGCCACCTCCCACGCCGGCCGTGCCTTTTAATCCACAGAACAGTTTTTTAAAAAGCAATTTATTTGCCAACATCAAACAAATGAGACTTTCATATATATACATGTATATAAGGGCCGGGGAGATGGCTCAGTGGAATAAGCGCTTCCCTGGCAAGCGCAAGGGCCTGAGTTCAATCCCCGGTTCTGCAAAAAACCATATATATATATTTTTTTGTTTGTTTGTTTGTTTTTGTTTTGGCGTGGGGGGGGTGGGGAACGGGATTGAACTCAGGCCCTGCAAGCACTTATTCTCCTGAGCCATCTCCCAGCCCCAAAGTTGAGATGGATTTTTTGGCTGGCTCATGAGAATCTGGGACAGAACTACAGCATCCTGAGCCTGACTGCTTTCTGAGACTTTCATATTTAAAGCAAAACCAGACTCGCTTCTCCTGACAGGCGTCAAGCTGGCAGCAGTACTAAGAAGGCAGCCCCTTGGCCTGGCATGGTGTGCATGCCCACAACCCAGGCACTTGGGAGGCTGCAGGCGGCCTGCTGAGAGCTCTGGGCCAGCCTGTGCCACTGAGACCCTGTCTCAAAAAGGAAGGAGGGAGGGAGGGAAGCAAGCAAGCAAGCAAGCGTGCGCCAGTAGTCAAGGCCCAGCACTCCTAGTGGCAGCAAATGTGGTCACCAGGGTGCTGTGGGTCCACGCTCTTTATCAGACCCTTGGGTGATAAAACCAAAGGTCAGTTACCATTTATCAGCATTCTTGCCTTGCCTTCCTCTAATGGTCCTTATGAAGAAAGGCATCTCTTTTTTCTTTTTTTTAATTTAAAAGTAAACATCTTAAATCTGTGTGCTAGCAGAGTCTGGCCCACCTGGCTCACTCGTGGCCTTCTTGCTGCTGCTGCGTCATGGGACTTTGCAACTGCTGGAGGAGCAAGGCCAGTCACCCCAGCTCTCAGTTCTGGGAGGGACGGCAGGAGGCACTCACCACCACATGGACACACAAGTGTCCGTGTGCCGCCGCCACCTCATGCCTGTGATCAGCTCTCGGGCCAGGTGGCACTCACAGCTGCTGGGTGCCACAACACAGCCATCCAACGTTAGGTTTGCCTGAGTCCCACGCAGCTCATGCAAGCGTGCTGCCGTGTATGTGGCATCCAGCGTGAATCTAGCACATCGCAGAAAGACCCCATGGAAGCCTGGCGTCAAACCCCAACCCTCGGGGCCGGGGACGAGCTCAGCAGCACAGCGTCTGCCTGGCAAGGACAAAGTTCTGAGTTTGATTTCCGGTACCAAAAACCAAAACAGAACACCCCAGTCCTCAGTATAGGGCATAAGCTCTGAACCATCCGATGCAAGAGAGGAGGGTAGAGACCCGCCTTTGGGAGGGGTCGGGGTCGGGGGTCGGGGGTCGGGGTCGGGGGCAGGGGCTGGCATCAAGACTGCACAGTTCACCAGGCGAAAGGAGGCAGCCGAGCCGGGCGTGGAGGCACAGGCCTGTAATGGAGCACTTGGAGGCTGAGGCAGGAGGATCATCACAAGTTTCAGGCCAGCCTGGGCTACAAAGTGAGTTCAAAGCTGGCCTCAGCAGCATAGGAGACCTTGTCTCAAAAAAAGGAAGCAGGGCCGGGGAGATGACTCAGTGGAATAAGCACTTGTCTGGCAAGTGCAGGGGCCTAAGTTCAATCCCTGGTTCCGGCAAAAAAACAAAACAAAACCAAAAAAGGAAGCAGCAGCAGGAGTCTCCCCACCCCCACCAAAGAGGCCTTCTATATTCAAGGCATGGATGGGCCTGTCTCAAGCTAATTAGTCTGCTCTCCGACCCCCTGCTGCCAGGGGCTGATTACACAGCACCAGGGGAACATCCCAGGAGAGCTTCACACTTAACAGATCTTAAATCAGACGTGTCATACGCCTCCCCACACTCAAACTTGTTCTTCTTTCTGTACTCTGTATTATTATTTATTTTGGAGGCAGTCTGGCTGTGTAGTACAGGCTGACCACGAGCTCACAGCGATCCTCCTGCCTCAGCCTCCCAAGTGCACCATCAAGCCTTCCCTGTGTACTTTATTCAAACATTCACAACCGCTAAGCCACCATGCGGCAGGCACTGGGTGCCCAGTGGGGTCCAGTACGGGAAGACTGACGCCCTGCCTTTCAGAGCTCACTGTCTGGGCTCCAGCTTACCTCGGCGAGCAGCAGCCACTCAGCAGCCCCAAATCGTGCGCCTCCCCTTAGGGTGCTTTCTCACCCCCTCTGCAACTGAGCTTACAGTCCTCTAAGCCTCACCTCCAAACGCTTCTCACACAGCCATGAGAGAGCGAGCGACACCAAGAGCAGCACCGTGCCGCCCACCCCAGCACCTTCCCCCACCAGCACTTCATCCTCCCAAGAGCTTCTCTGTCTGGGGCGCTGCCCCAGGCACACACCGCACTCCCTCGGCAGATCCAGGGCTCCAGTCCCGCCTAGTTAGCCTGGCCCTGGAGAACTTCCCGATCTGGCCCAACTTGCTTTTCAATCACATCTCCAGCACCTCCAAGGCCTGGGCGTGGTGGTGCGCCCCTCATCCCAGCGCTCATAAAGCTGAAGCAGGGAGGATCACTGGAGTTCGAGGCCGGCCTGGGTCACACAAGCAAGTTCAAAGCCAGCCTGAACTACACAGGGAGACCATGTGTCAAAACAAACAAAGCATGCAGGAATTTCTCGCATTTTCAGTAGGATCTTCTGAGAGGTTTTTTTGGTTCACCTTTTATTTTCCATATTTGACAGACCTGGATCCTGAGAAACATTCTCCAAACTGCAGGTGACACAGGGCAACAAATGCTACCAATTTTCTGCCTCTTGTCTGAGGGGTGGCCAGAAACAGGGGGGCAGGGGGGCGAGGCTGGCCAGGCACAGGCTGCTCCAGCTCACTACGGTCACAAGCGACTGCAGGTCCAGGCTTGCCAGAGTCTCTGATTTTCAGGGGAAGCTGAAGGCAGAGCTTTCTTTATGAAATCTCAATTTTTAAAAGAACGCATGGGCCAGCCAAATAGCTCAGTGGATTAAAAGCGCCTGCTTAGGCAGACGCAGGGGCCAGGAGTTCGATCCCTGGGCCTGCCGTGCCAGTACTGGCCACGGAGCAACCCCCCCAACCCCATGCACTGAGGTGGCAATTGAGACTGGACATGGTGGTGCGCGCCTGTAATCCCAGCACTTGGAAGGCTGTAAACAGGAGGATCACTGTGAGTCTGATCTATGCAGTGAGACCCTATAAACCCTTGTCTTAAACACACACACACACACACACACATTCACACACACACACAAAGACACTGGATCAAAGGAACCATGGGGGTGCTCAACAAGAAAAATCAAAATAAAGACACCGGATCCAATTTGTTTCTCCTAGGCCAAGTCTCACTGACAGGCCTGCAGTTTGTAACTTCTGTTTTGAAGCGCCTGGGTATGCGCAAATCTACCGGGGAAGATGCTCTCTCCTCCTGTGCAGCGTGAAGTGAGAAGGTATGGCTCCAGCAACGCAGCACACAGGGACGCGTACGGAGGGTCCTGGTGTCTGGGACCAGCTACAGACAGCGGTGGCGAGCCTGTGGCACGCATGCCACAGCCAAGTGCTGGTATCACGGAAAGCTCTAAAAGGTTTGCCATCCCTGCCCACACCTTGTGCCTCTGGGGACTGACTGTCAGCTCTCAAGACACCTGACTTCAAACGTCAAGTTACTGATTAACCAAGGGGACAATTTATTTCCCCAGTTTCTAACGCTGGCTCTTCCCTGACTGCCACAGAGAGCTGCCCGAGCCAGCCCAGGAGCGTGGCCCCTCTATACTTCCTCTCCTACAGTCCCTATCCCCGCTCTTATTCTGGCCTGAGTGGAAGCAGGTTCAGAACTGCTTTTCAGTCAGGTGTGGTGGTGCACACCTGCAATCCCAGCGCTCAGGAGGCTGAGGCAGGAGTCCAAGGCCTGCCTGAGCTATGCATTGAGTTCAAGGCCAGCCTGAACTATCTAGGGAGCTCCTGTCTCAAAAAATACTTAAGTAAATAGAAACCAAAAAAGAACTGTTTTTCACTCTATGTCGCCATTCCTCCTCCTCAGCACAACTACACTGTCATTTCAGTATGAAATCACTAGAAAGAAAATTACAAGTTTTGTTAGGGAAGGAGATTAAATGCCAAGATCTGGTCTTCCACATGCGCTATGAAAACGAGTCACCGCAAACCCGGGGGTGAGGGGTCAGCACAGAGCACCAAGTAAATGAAAGCCTGGGCAATAAGGCAAGACTCCAGGCTGTGGGTGGCAATTCTTTACAGGGGACAAAGACCTGCAGCCTGTGAGGACCTACCACTGGCACCCAGGAAGGCCCCACCTGTTGGGAGCTGCTCAGGCTGGAAACTGCTCCCACGTGGGAGGGCAGAATGAAGCCTCACTGCCTAAAGCAGTCAAGCTCCCTCAGTCTGCAGAAAAACATCCTGCCTGCACAGTGTGGGCTATTAGTCGCCAGGCAACCTTGTGTCTCCTAACTGCAAAGGTATAAATAAAGGCCCTTACTACTGGGGGTGGGGCTTTGCCTAGCAGGCTTGGTCCACCACCTGCCCTCAGCTATTATCTCCTCTTTATTTGCTATTCCTCCGGGGGACCACGGAGGGATCAACAGATCCCTACACCCACCCGCACCCGGCACCCACTCACCAGCTCCTCCCGCAGCTTGCCCAGTGTTTCGGTCTGGTTACTCCGCGCGCTCAGTGTCCCCGAAAGCTTCTCCATGAGGATGTCGTATTTGCTCCTCCTGCGAGAAAAACCAGCCAGGTCATTATGTGGGACTGCAAAGCCCCACCTGCTTTGCAAAGACGATGGTGCAGGACGTACAGCCCAGCACAGCCAACTGCAGAACCTGGTCTCAGGCTTCAACAATCACCCTGCCCAACCCCCGCATTTTCTAGGCAGTCAGGTGTCCAAGGTCACCAAATAAGTGACAGTGCACAAACTGGATTCTAAAATATGAATCAAGTGGTTCTCTAAACAACTTACATTTTTATAGTACTTTAATGTTTAGGAAACATCTTATATACTTCCTTAGATATCACTTGGGAAGAAGAGTGGAGATTATTCCATGAAGAATCCCACCTTCCACCCTGTGTGTATTATTAAGTCAATGTCCTGGCAAACACTTCCAAGCTGACAGCCAACAAAAGAAGCTGGGAAAAGACGGGGGTGTTCACGGTGGCGCGTGCCTGGAGGGCGGGCAGGGCTGTAGGGAGGCACCTTGCTGCCAGCTGGGCTGGACAACAGCGTGGCTCTGTGTGCGTGGGGTCCGTGGGCCACGCTCTTCTCCACGCGCACCTCTCAGCGAGGGAGAACCAAGGGACACCAGGAGCGTGCCACTTGCCCAGGCTACGTCCACAGAGCACCATGCGTTTGCTCAAGAGGAAACAGTGGCTCAGAGGCCACATGCCTTTGCCCACATAAGGGGCATGGACGGACACACAGATCTCAATTTAATCCATGTTCTTTCTTCTGCCCGATGCCTGTCACCCTCAGTTCTCCACAGATCATAAACCACTCCAATTGAATTTAGTCAAACACTTATTTTTTTTATTTTTTGGTATTTTAGTGCAGGGTCTACAGGGTCTCACTATACAGATCCAACTTGTAGTGATTCACCTGTTTTCAGCTTCAGCTTCCCAAGCACTGGGATTACAGGCGAGTACCCAGTCTCAATCACCGTCTCAGCGCACCCCATGGGGCCAGCACAGCAGGCTGGGGAATCGAACCTCCAACCGGAGTCTGCCTAACCAAGTGCTTTAATCTGCTGAGCTATCTGGCCAGCTCTTGTTATTTTTTAAAAAGTTATTTAAGGGGGCCTGCCCCTTAGCTCAGCTCTTTAAGTGGCTGCTTCAACAAAGCAGTCAGGCTCAGGTTGCTGTGGTTCAATCCCCACAACTCAAGCCAGCCAAACCCGCCCTGAAGGCATTCGGAGCAAAAAAAAAAAAGTTATTTAATTAACGGATTTCATGATTATGTAAAATATGAGTTCACTAATACTGTATTTTGCGATAAATCAGAAGATAGATTAGAAACAGGAGGCTTTAACAGTGTACGGGTTTGAAGGCTGATCAGAATCAACAGGACCTCTGACAGGAGGACACATGGTTCTCACTCCTGGAAATCCGCAGTCAACAATGTACACACACGCATCAGGTGGGCATCATGAACTTTTACCCTGACACTTAATCCTGAGTTTGGTCCCCTCCCGCCTGGAGGCTTCATCTGGCTCCTGGAGCAAAGGCTGAGGGGCTCTGCTGACTGCCCAGAGGACAACCTGTCACTCTCCGTGGTCCAGGGAAGGTTCTGCTGGCCCACCTCCCACTTATTCCTCAGCACTGTTCAGCTCCACCTTGCAGCAATGCAAGCTGGAAGTCTGGAGCTCACGCCCAAGAACACAGCCCCACACCAGCTGCACATCTCCCCACCCTGGCCCTCTGCTCATCCGAGAGAGGACGGGGTTGAAGGATTGCGGCTGACACCTCCGCAGAGTGGTAAAACACTGCTCTGCCCCAGCTATGATACCCAGCTAAAACAGCAACCTCACGCAGTGTAAGCTGATTATGGCTGCATATTTCAAAAATGCCCATGGGGCTGGGGAGATGGCTCAGTGGAATAAGCGCTTCCCTGGCAAGCGCAAGGACCTGAGTTCAATCCCCGGTTCCACCAAAAAAAAAAAAAAAAATATGCCCAATATGAAACTGAGATAATTTCACCACAGCTTTGTCATCTAACAAACTGAACTGGACTAACTAGTTTTTTTGGTATCAGGGATTGAACTCAGGACCTTACACTTTCCAGGCAGGTGCTTATGCTGCTGAGCCATCTCCCCAATTCCTCAAGTTAAAAATAGTAACTTTTACATCTCTCACCCTAAATTTCAACTGAATATTAGCAGTTTCTACTATTGAGTAGTAGAGTTCCAGGTATTTTTTCCCTCTACTTTTCTGTATAATGTTCATGTTTTTCTAAATGAGCAGAATGTATTTGCCATCACAAACTTTTTTTTTGTAAAAAAAGTAATCATGTTCTTACTTTTCTTTTTCATCTATTTTTTTTGGGGGGTGTGTGTGTGGCTGGCTCAGCCCACCCTGTAGGCAAGGCTGGCGTGGCATGTGGTGCCGGGGATTGAACTGTGGTCCCTGTGCTTGCTAGCCCTGGGCATTACTTTTTAAAAGCATTCTATGCAATCAATCAATCAGTAAGAGCATGATACACGTGGCTGCAATACAGAAGCCAGCCCCTGCTTGTGCTCTGCGGGCCGTACCTGTCCGCGTGGAACCGGTTCAGAAGCAGCAGGATGGAGTGCTGCTGAGCTCCCGTGGGCAGGCGGATCACGTGCGACTGCATCGTAATGAGCCCATTTTTGTTGAGGATTTTCCTGTGATAATGAAGCTTCCCAGCATCAACCCTGCGGCACAAGAGGGAGGGCCGTGTCACTTGGCCTACTGGCAAATTCACCCACACAGCGTACGAGTTTTTCACTTGGAAATAAACATCAGAGACGTGCCCCATACGCACACATCTAGCCAACCTCAGAGGACAGTGACTGAGACAATGACCTTCAAACAGAAAGGCATGCATTTGGGGTGCAGGACACAATGACCGGTGAGCCCCGCTACTAGAAGGACAGAAGCAGCAAGTCCTCCCATACTTGAAAGCGGTGGTGTGAAGGTCTCGCTGCAGCTCCCCTTGCCACCTGGACCGGCCTAGTCGCTCCAGGATACAGTAGGAGAAGTCGGGGAGCTTCAAGTCGGGGTCCCCCTCTGCGCCTATCAGGGCTCGATAGCGCATGTCTTGGGAAGCAACAATGATCAGCTTCTTGCCCCACCTGCAAGTCAGAAACAACCATAAGCAGAAACGCAACTGACTATGAGAAATCTGGAAGATGAGAATGTCGACGCTTTCAGAATCAGCGCTTCCTGCTTCTTGGGAGAAGGTAACAGTACTCCAGATTCACCGGGGCAAGTTTTCAGAGTCGTGGTGTGGCACAGAGTCTAATCCTCCCAGAGCTTATGGCCCCAGCCAAATCCAGCTCCTCGCCACGGCCTGGAGGACATGACACAGGCCTCGCCTGGGAGGGCTACTTCCTAAAACAAGCCGTTTCCCTGCCTGGCTGCCTTTCTCCGGGCCTGTAGGTGACCGCTTCTTTGTCACTCAGCCACGAGCGAGCCGCGGCCCCAACCCTTTCCTCCAGTCCCCACAGTTTAGCATTCTCGGAAACAAGGTCTGTTTCTGACATTCTTGTCTGCCTCCCTTATTCAAATGATTTGGTACGTGTAAAATAATGCCCCAAGGGGCCCCAGCGGCCGTGAGCGAGGCACTGCAAGACACGACACGTGAGAAGACGCACTGCCAGAGGCCTGTCTCGCTGCTAATTTCCCGCAGCTTATAGGTGGACGCCACACTGCCCGCCCGTCAAATTAAACCAATGTCTCCTTCTATCGGGCGAAATGGCTCAGTCCTTTCCACTGTCTTGCGGTTCCTGTCCTGGCCCCTTGTGAGATGCCACAGAATGCACTGACACAGAGCCCAACCCGCACACTGCACTTGGCTTCATGTCATCCAGTTGAAGGCTGGAGTCACTATAGAGGACAGAGAAGAGCACACGGTCTCCTCTGGGACCACGGTCACTCTCTGCCTTGTTGTTTAGGGACAGCCAGTCATCAGGGCTGGTAGTCAGCTCAGTCTAGCAGTTTTCCTTGCTCCTGCCTCATGTCAAATGCCTTCACTTCTATCCCAAGTAGCTAAAAGAAAAAAGCTCAGAACAGAGGACATGGTAGCAACAGAAAGAAATTCGTTATCCCAGCTACTTGGAGGCTGAGGCGAGAGAATGGCAAGTTTGAACCCAGCCTGGGCAACTCTGTAAGACCATGTCTCAAAATAAAAAACAAAAAGGGGCTGGGGTACAGTTCAACAGTAGCATGCTCTTGGGGTCAATCTCCAGTACTGGGCTGGCCAAATAGCTCAGTGGATTAAAGCACCTGCTTAGACAGAGGCAGGGGCCAGGAGTTTGATCTCTGGGCTTGTCATGCCGTCCCCGCCCCCAAGGGCACGCTGAGATGGCGATTGAGACTGGACCAGGTGGCGCGCGCCTATAATCCCAGCACTTGGGAGGCTGTAAACAGGCGGATCATGACGTGTCCGATCTATGCAATGAGACCCTGTAGACCCTGTACTAAATAAAAAAATAAATAAAATAAAAAAAATCTCCAGTACTAAAGAGAAGATAGTTCTGGTTGGATGCTGTTATGGTTCATGTCTAAATGGTCACCAAAGCCTCATGCAGGCATGGGCTGGGCTTCTCGAGTTTGTGCTTCATTCATGGTTCAAGGCTGGGATTATGGGTGTGAGTGCTACACCGGCTCTGGGGCAGGCAGCCTGCACACAGTCCTAAGGCAGGGACAGACGCTTGCTCTCTGCTGCCGCTCCTCCCTGTTTGCTCTTGCTGCATCGGTTGTTTTCTGCCATGTACCACTCTGCCCTGGAGCCAGCCTACGGACCGAAACCTCTACTAACTCTGAGCTAAATAAACCTTTCCTTCCTTAATTTTGGGTGCCAGGTATCTTGTCCCAGCAATTAGAGAAAATCAACCCAGACTGATGGTGAGCCACACCCACGTATGAAGGAGAAAGTATAATGGACAGGCAGAAGCAAGGACTCAGGAGACAGAGAAGCTAAGAGGTGGAGGTGGGACACAGCAGGAGGTACTCAGGGGAGAAAGCAAGGAGGAAGACCAGCAGCCAGAGCACAGTCCAGGGGCCGGCGAGATGGCTCAGTAGAGTAAGCGCTTCCCTGGCAAGCACAAGGGCCTTAGTTCAAACCCCAGTTCTGCAAAAAAAAAAAAAAAAAAGAACACAGCCTAGCGGGGCCATAAGAGACAGCAGCGCAAGGCCATGGGGAGAGGCCTGCAAGCAGAGGGACAGGGCGGACATGGGCAACTTCTCCTATCTGACCTGAACAGGGAGGTGAGAATAGGGTTGCTTGAGAAAAAGGACCATTTGGACTAGCCACTTGGGAAAATGCAACCCTGCTTGAGACCTCGTCAGGGTACAGCTGGGCAGAACAGGGACAACTGGGAAGAGAGAACCAAAGATGCCCAGAGCTGTGGCCATAAAGGAAAGGGAACCCAAGACCTCAGTGTCAGCCAGCTGCACAGCAGCAGTGGCGGCGGCAACAGCAGCGGAGTGAAGAAAGCCGAACTCTGGCTCAGGGCTGAGTGCAGGGCTGGTGGACTCTGACGCTCCCTGAGGCTGCGCTTCGGCTGTGGCCACACCCCTGCACTCAGAACCGGATGCCTGGGCATTTCTTTACTTTTCTTTATTTTTAACTTATTTAGTACAGGGTCTAACTAACAGTTCAGACTCCTAGTGATCCTCCTGTCTCAGCCTCCCAAGTGCTGGGATTACATGCGTGTGTCACCACACCCAGTCTCAATGGCCATCTCAGAGTGCCCCGAGGGCACCGCTTCTGCACTCAGCCTGAGCAGGTGCTTTAGTTCCCTGAGCTATCTGGCTGGCCCTGCCTGGGTATTTCTGAGCATGTGGGTCAGTTACCTGTCAAACGCGTCCATCATTGTACAGCGAGGCTGCAAAGCCTTGGTCCTGATGTTACCGGTAACGTTCTTCCTTTCCTTGAAGTACCGGCAGGAGCCCTGGATGCCGTCCTTATTCTCTAAGATCATATGAATGGGGTAGACATCCTCCAAAGGGACGGGGTCCCTCCGCGACTCCAAAATTCCAGTTTCCAAATCAATCTCTTCATACCTAAAGGGAAAAGCACAAACACAAGCCTCAAACTCAGCTTCAAACATAACATGCCCCTGGAGTATTTGGGTCCCCCGCCCCCAATCTCCAGCAGAGATCTGAGGAGAGGAGATTGCTCAGCCTTCCTGCACTGCAAATGCAGACAATCTTGACAAACAGGTTCCTGCCTTTCTAGCCCACACAGCAGACCTTTCCAGGAGCCCCCACAGCACGCTGGAAGCTGCAGAAGCTGTATCCATCTAAATCGCCTTGCTGGCTAAAAGTGACAGCTTTCAGTTTCCTTCCAAATCTGGCATCTAATGTATAGACCACCAAGTTTGGACTAAATGATTCCTGTCCTTTCATGTCATCTGCCCGCCGCCTCACTTCTCTAGTTATCACTCATTTGTTTTCATGGTTCCAGTTTTCAATTGCAGGCTAACAATTCCCACTGAGTACTAATTCCGCGTCCTCACCTATCAGCCCACTTAAATTTCCTAAGACCCAACAGTGCACGGCTTCTCCCCACCTCCGCACAGTCCCACCTAGGTGGAAGACATTCCCAGCCGCCTCTTAGCAACAATTAAAGACGCCCTGACTTAAATTTCTTCCTTTAGGCTGCCAACCTCACCTGCCAAGTGCTCCTTTGGATTCTAATCCACATCTTGCATAGACTCGTACAGGCTTAATCCCACATACGCTTTTTCTCCCTTGCCCTTGCTGGAACCTCCAACTTTTTAACCCTCTATTTTCAAAGCACATCTGTCCTCTCCCCAGCTTCCAGGGCACTGGCACCAGTCTAGCCTCCCTGTCTTCTATCTCTCCGGTCGTACTTTCCTAGTCTTCTCTGGAAGTTTCTGTAGTTTCCAAGCAAACTTGAAAGGTAGGTGGCAGCTCAAAGGTGTAGGGGTGTGTGTGTGTGTGTGTGTGTGTGTGTGTAAGCCTCCAATCATGTCGGTTTCTCTCCTTGGATGGTCTTATTTGCCAACAGTCTTTATTATCATCTATATGGGATGACTCAGAAGTCTAACCCAGCTCCTCCCTCTGGCCTGCTTTCACTCCCAGAAACTAAATGTTTACTAACAAAACCTTGCATGGATAACTAAAGGAATTTTTTAAAAGAAATATATTTCAGGCTGGGGAGATTGCTCAGGGGAATAAGTGCTTCCCTGGCAAGCTCAAGGGCCTGAGTTCAATCCCCGGTTCCGAAAAAAAAAAAAAAAAGGTATAATTTTGGGGCTGGTGAGATGGCTCAATGGTCTAAAGCACCTATTTAGAACAAGCTTAGCAAAGCACAGAGACCGCGGTTCAATCCCCCAGCACCACATGCCAGCCAGCCCCGCCCCCTGGTGGGCTGAGCTGGCCACACACACAAATAAATAAATAAATAAATAAAATTAAAAAAAAAAAAAAAGAAATATATTTTGGGGATGGGGAGATGCTCAGTGGATTAAGTGCTTCCCTGTCAAGCGCAAGGGCCTGATTTCAATCCCTAGTTCCACCAAAAAAAAAAAAAAAAAAGTTGTGTCTCACTATGCAGCTCAGACTCTTAGTGATCCTCCTGCTTCAGGCTCCCAAGTGCGGGGATTACCGGCACACACCACTACACCCAGACTCTGTGGCCACCATGTGGTGCTGGGGATTGAACTGAGGTTCTTGTGCTTGCCCAAGCAGGCGCTTTAAACTGCTGAGCTATCTCACCGGCCCCCAACTAAAGGAATCTCAGTGTGTCCCAAAGCACATTTGGCACCCGCCTTGGACAGAGGAGGCCACATACTACTCTTATGTGTTCCCAACCTCAAACAAGGGGTGGATATTCACTCAGATGCCCCACAGGGAGGTGGGCTGGGAGGCAATTCCTACCCTTCCCTGCATTCCATAGCCACTTAAGTCTCCAAATTCTTCCACCTCACATGCCTCACTTCCATCCTCCCCTCTTCATTTCACACCCCCAATGCACCACAGGGCATTTGTGACTAGACACCACACACCTCAGCTTTCCTCCAACCCCAGTCTGATCCTTTCAGTGGTTTCCCAGTCTTTGGGATAAAGGAAGAACTCTAAGCGGGACTGGGAAGATAGCGAGATAGCTCAGTAGAATAAGCACTTGCCTGGCAAGCTCAAAGTCCTGAGTTCAATCCCCGGTACCGCAAAAAATAATAATAATAATCCTTTAAGTGGATTAAATGACAATTAATTTGGCTCAGGGCAGGGTGGGAATAGAAACAGGTGAACCCCCTGGAGTCAAATTCTGTTCAGTCTGACCTTGAACAGCTCACGTAATTGCATCTTAATTTTCTCTTCAGAAAAATAGGGGTAACAAAACTTTTCTCCCGGGGTTGTTGTAAAAAATTAAACAACTTGCTACATCTACATGTCTTAGAATAGTTCCAAATCATAATGAACATATATGTGTCAACCATTAGTCCTCCTTCTCTACTTAACAGTTCTAAGTTTGACCAAACTTAAAATTTCTCTTCTGTCCAGCATTCACATTTGCCATCTAGAATATTCTGCCAAACGAAGGCCTAAATGCGACCTTAATACCCATGTCTTAGCCATGGGTATGTCTGGGACCTCCCCAGAACCCCCCACCCCACCCCAGTGTGGCTTAAGAGCCGATTCTGGACACAGGCCGCTGGGGTTCGAACCAGTATTTACTCACTTAGAACCCCAGTACCTTGGGCAGGTTTCTTAACCTGTCTCTGCGGCTCAGTTTTCTCCTTTATAAATTCGGAAGGCAGCAGCACCAACTTCCTGGGGTCGCCGCGAGGACCACCTTAGTTGAAGCCCTTCGCAGCGCCCAAGCCGCAGCAGCCGCTAGCACCGCAGCTAAGCTCCCCGCTACGCCGATCTCGCGTCGCGCCGCCTCTCCGGGCCGACGCCAAGCGAGCGCCCCATAAAGGTTTGTGGAACTCAGCGGTCCCGGGCTTGATCAGAACTGCCTCGCACCCCCATTCCAGCCTCCGCTTTAGAGGGAATACTCTCTGAAACCCGCAGAACATCACCCCCACCCCGCTTCTGCTCACCACCACCCTCGAGCACCGACATAAAGGACCCCCCCAACTTCGCAGAGCCCCGGGCCCTGCGAGACCCGCAGGACCGCGGATTAACCTTCCCGCCGCGCCCCCTCCCCCACCAGAGCCCCGGTCCTCCATCGGCTCCCCCCCCAGCTTTCTCGCCCCCTCCCAGCTCCACGAGACCCCGGGCCGCGGGCCTGGCCGCTGACCGGTCCTGCAGCTGGAGGTCGGGGCGCTCCCGAGGCTCCTCATAGAAGCTGATGCCCGGATGAGTGGCGAGAGCACGCCACAAAAACTCCTGGGTGTAGGGTTCCAGCGGCAGCGGGAAGGGAGGCACTCGGGACTCCAGACGGCTCCACAGAGCGGGCAAACACAAGCCATCAAGCCCCTCAAGGGCCACTTCGTCCAACAACGACTCCAGCGCGTCCATTGCTCCTACAGCCAGCAGCGCCCCGGGCGCCTGCGCACCAAGCTGCAGCGGGCCCTCGTTCATCGCGCCTGCGCACAGCGAGCAGCGGCCCAGGGAGGCCGGTCGGGCCCCGCGATCCCGGGAGCGCCAGCGCGCCGCCGTGACGTCACGCCTCGGGGGCGGGCTCAATGGCTGGAAGTCTATCGCCATTGGTCCGGAGCCCTGAGTAACCAGGGGAACTGCAAACAGCACAGGGGCAGCTTCCGGTTCGAGCAACCGGAACCACCGCCTCTAGGGATGGACGGTGAGTGTCCGTGGGCCCCTCGGGGAAGTTGGGCGGTTTGTGTCTCCTCTCTCTGGAGTCTTCTCCAGGGGTAGTACTAGTGCAGAGACCCTCTGGGCCACCACTGCCCGCCCCAAGCTGGTCTCCAGTCTGCGGGAAAAAAAGGCTGAAGGGTCCGGGATGGGGAGGAGAGGCGGAGGGAACGATCCCAGTGCCAAGCTGTGGTGGTGTCAGAACTCAGTACTGGCCGGGGCTTGGTGGCGGGATTTATGGCGGGAAAGGCGAGGTAGGGATCCGAGGAGGATCTTGTGTGTCGTGGGTCGGTGCAACTGTACGATCAGGGGGTTTGTGTGGAGCCGAGCGAGACACTGGGGAATGAATGCATTCGTCAGTTGCTGAAAAGGTAGTTGGGATGGCGAACGGGGGAGACCAGAGAAGAGTCCTTTTCTTCACTTCGGTGTGAATAAGAGCCCACAGGCACCGAGTACTGTTCACTGTCGGGAGCTCTGTCACTTGAAATCAGGGCTTACCCTGCTCTACTGGTGAAACTGAAGCTGAGAGAACTTGCCCAGAGTCAAACAAGGAGCAAGTAGCAGGATGAGTGAGGAGCCCAGAGCTTCTCTGGAGCCGAGTTAGCGAGGTTGGGAATCTCGGGCTTTTTTTTTGTTGTTTTTTGTATTGGAAATCGAACTCACAATCTCGCACTTGCCAGACAGGTGCTGCGCCGCTGAGCTGCATCCCCGACCCTCGCAGGGGATTTTTGTCCCAGAGGTTGCCAGTGCCCGTGTCTCCGGGGGGCAGATTTCACGTTGGGTGGATTAGGGCTTTGATTAGAAATCCATCCCTCATGTGAAGGGGAAGCTGCCCGCTGAGCTCCTGCCGCTTGCTTCTTGGGACACTGCTCCAAAGGGCCGGGCTTGGGGACGTCATGTTGGAATCTCGTTGCAGATGGGAAGGCTAATGAGGGAGACAGGTCTGTCTGTGGTAGGGCTCCGATCATTGTTGTTGTTGTTGTTTTGGTGGAACCGGAGTTTGAAGTCAGGCCCTTCTGCTTACCAGGGAAGCGCTTATTCCACTGAGCCATCTCCCCGGCCTCAAATCATTGTTGCTTTTACATTGCTGCCCTGCGCTTCTGGGGAACTGCATTCCGTGCCGTGGGAAGAAAAAAATTGTGGATTTTTGGTTGGTTGGTTGGCTCTAGTTTTCTTCAGACAAGAGTCTCACTATATGTCCAGACTTTTTTTTTTTTTTTGGTGGCAGAACTGGGGATTGAACTCAGGCCCTTGCGCTTGCCAGGGAAGCGCTTATTCCACTGAGCCATCTCCCCGGCCCCCCAGACTGGTCTTGAACTCAGTGTACTCCAGACTGGTTTCAAACTCACAGTCTTCCTTCCTCATCCTCCAAAGTGCTGGGATTACAGGCATGCACAACCACACAGCTGAAAAATGTTTTAGTTGAACATTAAGTCATGTACTTCAAAAGGTAACTTTGCCTTTTGTATTGTTGAGGTACTGTAACAATACCTCTTGGGGTTGGGGAGATCGCTCAGCGGTCTAAGCGTCTGCCTGGCGAGCACAAGGACCCGGTTCGATTTCCGGTACCACATGCCATTCTGGCCCTATGCCAAGCACCGAGTCCTGGTGTGGTGGTACACACCTGTAATCCCAGCGCTGGGGAGACTGAGACAGGAGGATCACTATGAGTCTGAGCTGCTTAGTGAGACCCTGTGCCAAAAATAAATAAATAAATAAATAAATAAATAAATGCCTTTTTACTAGCTTCCCCAGTGGGAAAGTCAGTGTAACGTTGCTGTATAGTTGTCCTCAAACCTTTTAGGCCTTCAGACAGCTTTATGCTCCTCTCTCTCAAGAGTTTGTGTGTATACTATCTAAGATATCGTGCTGGAAACTAAAACTAAGCTAGGTGTGGTGGTACATGCTTTTAATTCCAGCACTCAGGAGGCTGAGGCAGGAGGACTGCTGTGAGTCTGAGCGCAGCCTGGGTTATGAAGTGAGACCATCTTAAAAATAAATGAGGGGCTGGGGAGATGGCTCAGTGGAATAAGTGCTTCCCTGGCAAGCGCAAGGACCTGAGTTCAATCCCCGGTTCCACCAAAAAATAAAAGTTAAATTTATTGGGCTGGCGAGATGGCTCAGTGGTCTAAAGCACCTACTTAGAACAAGCTTAGCAAAGCACAGGGACCACGGTTCGATCCCCCAGCACCACCTGCCATCCAGCCCCGCCCCCTGGTGGGCTGAGCTGGCCACACACACACACACACACACAAAATAAATAAATAAATGTTTATTATTAAAAAAATAAAAATAAAAAATAAATGACATGGGGCTGGCGAGATAGCTCAGCGGTCTAAAGTGCCTGCTTAGGCAAAAGCATGGAGACTGCAGTTTGATCCCAAGCATCACATGCTTCGCCAGCCCTATGACAGCTGGGCACAGTGACACATGCCTGTGAGGCAGAGTTCGGAGGATTGTCCAAAGTTCAAGGCCAGACTAGGGTACAAAAGGAGTTTATGGCTAGCCTGGGCTACCTAATGAGACCCAGTCTCAAAACAACAACAAAAAGCCTTATAACATGTGCCAGTTTATTTTAAATAGGAACGATAGACTCATTACTTCTGAACATGAATAATTTTTTGATGTATTATGGATTGAACCCAGGCAGTCCTGATCTGTATTTCCAGCACTTTTTTTTTTTAATGTATTTGGTGCAGGGTCTACGGGGTTTCACAATGTAGATTGGACTTGTAGTGATTCTCCTGTTTTCAGCCTCCCAAGTTCTGAGATTACAGGCCACTGATATAGGGAGAAAAACTGATCAAGGGTGGGTGACCTCCAAATGCTACAGGGAACCTGCAAATGACGTACGGAAAAATGATCTCCCGACCTGACCTGCACGAGTTCGTGTTCTCTAAAACCGAAGAATGAATTTTAGGAACAAACAGAGGCTATGAGCAGAATATGTTTATTGAGGGAAAGAAAGCTCCTGTCCAAGAGAGGGACAGGAGGGGGGCTGGAGCGGGTTGTTCCCCCTGAAGCTGTCTCTTCCAGGGACTTTTATAGTGTAAAACCTTGCTGGGCTAAGGTAGTGAAAGGGGGAACTGGCTTAAGTGGATGTGGGGTGGGAGCCAATGGGATTACAAGCACCATTGCTCAGGTCAAGCTGGGGAAGCAATTTCTTCCTGTTGGGGTTGGAATACAGGACAGGGTCTCTTTCCGTTGGGGGTTGGGCTAGTGACTCACAGGGTCTTTCCAGGTGCTGGATACCTATTTAGAATCTCAATCCCAGATGCTACTCTTTTAGCATTTGTTTGGCCCTTAGGTCTGGTTCCCAGCAGGCGCATCCGCCCCCCATAGTTGTCTTTGTCTTCCGTGTTACCTTCTTGGAGGACCTGGCCCTGTCTGAATGCCTATAATATTTCTGTCTAGTTTGGCTACCTGCACCACCACCACGCCCAGTCTCAGTCACTGGCTCAGCACTCCCGGGACAGGGCCAGCACCGCAGGCTGGGGATGGAACCCCTGCTCTGCCTGATCAAGCACTTTAATCCGCTGAGCTATTTGGCCGGCCCTCAAGCACTTTTGGTTTATTGATTTTTTTAAAACTTTGAGACAGATTCTTGCTATGTTGACCAGGCTGGCCTCAAACATGTTTGTTTGTTTGTGACAGGAGTCTTGCTGTGATCTGGCTGGCCTCAAATTTATGATGCTGTTTCTTTGTTCTTCAAGTGCCACCATGCTCAGTTTGTTTATTTATTCATTTATTTTGGCGGAACCGGGGATTGAACTCAGGCCCTTGCGCTTGCCAGGGAAGTGCTTATTCCACTGAGCCATCTCCCCGGCCCCACACCATGCTCAGTTTATAAATACTAATTTTAATGAAAAGCAACTAAACTCAAGGGCCTGAGTTCAATCCCTGGCTCTGCAAAAAAAAAAAAAAAAAAAAGAAAAGAAAAAAAACCCAAATGTTGGGGGCAATAGTCCCCAAAATATTAATAGGAAAAGTAGCCTCATTTTACATCTTAGCAAGTCTCTTCCATGTCTGGCTTAGTAAAAAGTAGTCTCATTTCTTTTTTTAACTTTATTTATTTATTTATTTATTTTTGTTTTGCAGTGTCAGGAATTGAACACGGGACCTTGCAGTTGCCAGGCAGGTGCTTAAGCTGCTGAGCTATATCCTCAGCCCCTAGTCTCTCATTTCTTTTTTCTTTCTTTTTTTTTTTTTTTAAATGTAATTAGTACAGGGTCTCACTACACAAACCAGACTTGCAGTGATCCTCCTATTTTCAGCCTCCCAAGCGCTGGGATTACAGATGAGTGTGCCGTCCTGCCCAGTCTTAATAGCTGGCTCATCGTACCCTGGGGGCGGAGCCTGGCACTTGGGGAACCCGGGTGCCTGCAGGCCCTTTAATCTGCTGAGCTATCTGGCCACCCCTTAGTCGCTCATATCTGCTTCCGCATCCATAACGACGCTGCTACTCTGGGCGCTATATATGAAGAAGATCTCGCATTACCCAGATGTACAAGTGAAGCCGGGAGGGATATTTTAATTGCCATTTCAGGACACAGTTTCCTAAAGTCACTGTCACTACATGAGATCTAAAATTATTTTAATTGGGCTGGGGAGATAGCTCGGTGACCTAAGCACCTGCCTGGCCAGCACAAGGCCCCGAGTTCTATCCCTAGTACTACGTGCTGGGCCGGCTGCAGAATCTGGGCATGGTAGTGCACACCAGTAATCCCAGTGCTGGGGAGGCTGAGTCAGAGTCCAAACTGCATAGCAAGACCCTTGTATCA